CATATTCTGAAGGTCTTGCATGTTTTTAGCGAGAAGGACTGTATCGTCCGCGTAACGCAAATTGTTCAGTGGTATGTCGTTAACTCGTATTCCACCACCATTATTTTCGAGGGCTTTGTTAAAGATTTCCTCTGAGTAGACGCTGAAAAAAAGTGGTGAAAGAACACATCTTTGTCTAACTCCTCGTTTGATATCCACTGCTCTTGTCAGTTCAGACTGGACGCGAACAGACGTACTTTGGTCGAGGTACAGTTTTACTATAATTTGTAGCGATGGGAACTATCGAATGAATTAGACTATCGAATGGTTACTGAATGAATGATTTCAACTATCGAATGGTTTTATTCGAATAAAATCATTCATTCATTTGTATACTAAAGCATATGTGACAACCCCGCCGTGCGACTAAATGGTTATCGTTGCGCCACGAGCCACGACTATCGAATGCTTTTGATAGATGAAATTTAGTATTCGTTTGATTTTTGTGTGCGTCAGTGCATTATTAATTCTTCCAAATTTTTATAACTTCGCCTTGTAAATACTATGCTATTTTTGCGTTTATTAAAATATTTAAAATACTAAAATAGTAGTTTTTTTAATTGACGATTGTGTGCGAAGTGGTCAAAATTTTTCCGAAAATTTGTGTGATTTTCCGTAGCCCGATCTTTCAATTATTTAATTTTATATGGTATATTATGGTTAGATTAGATTACATTTTTTAATGGGAAATTTTGAGAAGTAGCAATTTTTAAGAGAGATGAGATGAACTTACAATTAATTTTAAAAATACATATTTGTATTTTAGATGTTTTAATAATATGAATTAGTTGAACTTAATCATCATATTTAAGTAATGTGGTTAAGTAAATGGTTATCAAACTCAAATTTTGGGGTGAGAAAATTAAATTGAAAGTTTTACACGGGCCAATTTAAAAAAAAATGTTAACAATGTTTGCATTTTGTTTATGCTAATTCTCTTACATGTAGTTTTTTGCGAAGAAATATTTCATTTATTTTTTAAAGTAAATGCCAGTAAAAGTAAATATTATTTTTAAATAGTAATATAAAGTAATAAAAAGTAATATAAATAATTTTGATTTCAAATTTTTTATTTATATTTTCCTTTCATTACACTGCATGCTTAGAAAATTAATAAATGTTTATATTTCATGATTTTAAAATTTGTTGTTAATATAACAAATTAGTTCTGTAATTATTATTATTTAATAAACCAACATTGCCATTTAGAGACTATATTATTTTTAAATAGGATCTAATATAAATACTTTTGACTTCTATTTGTTGTTTATATTTTGATACTGCTTAAAAAAAATGTTTATATTATTAAATTATTTTAAATTTTGTATAACAAATTATTAGTGTTATTATTATTTATTAGACCAGTCTTTGATTAAAAACATTAAAAATCATTTTTTTACATTCAAAATAAAAAGTATTATTGCAGTGTAACAACAGAATATTAATAAAAAAATGCAAAACATATAGACATACTATCCCTAACTAACTAATGCTAAAGAAAAATATTCTTTGCTAATACCAACTAATACGAATATATGGCAACAGCGCCCTTCATAATGTATTTTCTGTGTAAATACTAGCACCTCAATAAAAAAAAATAATGTGTCCTTATCTTTATTAGACTCCGCAACAAATCAAAAAGATGCCGGCTTCTTTCATAGCATTGCCACCGACTGCTGTCGGGTTTCTAGGAAAGAAACCTACGTCGACAACGTTTTCTAGGAAAGAAACCGGACGACAACTAAAATCCAGTTTATATTTTATTAAAATCGATCATGACGAATAAATGAATTTGATAAATGAATGAATTTTATAAATGAATGGTTTTTGCTGCCGAATTACTAGAATACAATATTTCAAGGCAGATGACGCATCTATTCGATAATTTTTATTCGAATAGTTTTCGACGAATGTTTTCTTACTAGCTATCGAATTATTCGAATGAATTGCAACTAACGAATGTTTCGATAGTATTCATTCGATAGTTCCCAATACTAATAATTTGTATATCTCTTGTATCGAGATTTTTTCGTTCTAACGCTTCTATTAGTTGCTTGTATCTTACTTTATCAAATGCTTTATTATAGTCAAGAAAACAGGCATAAACATTTTGATTGGCATCAAGGCATCGCTGCATTAAGACATTGCAGGCAAACAAAGCCTCCCGAGTACCGAAACCATTTCTAAAGCCAAACTGTGTATCTGCTATATCTTCTTCTAATTTTCTGTAAATCCTGCGGTGGATGACTTTGAGAAAGATCTTAAGTGTGTGACTCATAAGGCTAATCGTGCGGTGCTCTTCACATTTTTTGGCATTATGCTTCTTTGGAATTGTGACAAACGTCGACTGGAGCCATTCCTTTGGTATCATCCCTGTTTCGTGGATCTTATTAAATAGAGAAGTTATAGCACCTAAGTCTTGTTTTTCAATCATCTTGAGCACATCTGCAGGTAGCTCGTTAGGGCTAGGCGTATACAGTATTGATTGAAGTATTCAATTGTTTTTGGTCATTTTCTGTTTCACCAGAAATGAGTACAACTTTTGATTTTTAAATGGTATTTTTGGTTTTTTTTACTTTATTCGACAGAAAAGGACACTCTGAATAGAATGACATATCATATATTAATTTTTGTCATTTTATCTAAAATTGTATCATGCGGTTCATAACGACAATTTGACTCGAAATACCAAGTGTGTGGTACCAAATTATTCGCTAAAAATGCTTTTTCCAAATATGCTAATGAGCCACGCTTGTTCCATTTGAAAAAAAGAGATACGATTAAAAATACGATTTGGGCATCTTTTGTTTGGCCAGGACAAGACACGAAAAACACTAGATCATCAAATATATTTTTCTGTGGCTCTTTGATTAAAAATTAGTGTTTCTAACACAGCCAAGGCTCTCTAGATTGAAATTTAAAACACGATTTCTTTAAGCGAAAATTTCAAAATTTGACATATGATATGTCATTCTATTCAGAGTGTCATTTTCTATCGAACAAAGTAAAAATATACCGAGGGGCTATTTAAACATACAAATTTTAGGTCATTTACGGTGCAACAGGAAGTTGCCGAAAACAATTGAATACAGCAATCAATCGTAATTTATGTTATATTCTAACTAGTAGTGGGAACTATCGAATGAATACTATCGAAACATTCGATAGTTGCAATTCATTCGAATAATTCGATAGCTAGTAAGAAAACATTCGTCGAAAACTATTCGAATAAAAATATCGAATAGATGCGTCATCTGCCTTGAAATATATTAATTCGGCAGCAAAAACCATTCATTTATAAAATTCATTCATTTGTAAAATTCATTTATTCGTCAGGATCGATTATAATAAAATATAAACTGGATTTTAGTTGTCGCCCGGCGACGTAGGTTTCTTCCCTAGAAACCCGACAGCGGTCGGCCGGCGGTCGGTGGCAATGGTATGAAAAAAGCCGGCATCTTTGATTTTGAGTCAGATAAAGATAAGGACACATTATTTTTTTTTATTGAGGTGCTAGTATTTACACAGAAAATACATTATGAACGGCGCTGTTGCCGTATATTCGTATTAGTTGGTATTAGCAAAGAATATTATTCTTTGGTATTATAGTTAGTTAGGGATAGTATGACCTGTGGTATGACTATATATTTTGCATTTTTTTTATTAATATGCTGTTGTTACACTGCAATAATAATTTTTATTTTGGATGTAGGAAAATGATTTTTAATGTTTTTAAGCAAAACTGGTTTAATAAATAATAATAACAGTAATAATTTATTATACCTATTAACACCAAAATTTAAAATCATTTAATATAAACATTTTTATAAGTAGTAGCAAAATATAAACAACAAATTAGAAGTCAAAGTTATTTATATTAGATCCTATTTAAAAATAATATAGTCTCTAAATTTTTTGGCAACGTTGGTTTATTAAATAATAATAATTACAGAACTAATTTGTTATATTAACAACAAATTTTAAAATCATGAAATATAAACATTTATTAATTTTCTAAGCATGCAGTGTAATAGAAGAAGAATATAAATAAAAAATTAGAAATCAAAATTATATATGTTTATTACTTTGTATTATTATTTAAAACTAATATTTGCTTTTACTGGCATTTACTTTAAAAAATAAATGAAATATTTCTTCGCAAAAATCTACATGTAAGAGAATTAGCATAAACAAAATACAAATATCGTTAACTTTTTTTTTTAAATTGGCACGTGTAAAACTTTAATCAATCAATTTAATTTTCTCACCCCAAAATTTGAGTTCGATAACCATTTACTTAACCACATTACCACATTACTTAAATATGATTATTAAGTTCAACTAATTCATATTACTAAAACCCCTAAAATACAAATACATATGTATTTTTAAAATTAATTGTAAGTTCACCTCATCTCTCTTAAAAATTGTTACTTCTCAAAATTTCCCATTAAAAAAATAGACCATATACCGTATAAAATTAAATAATTGTAAGATCGGAAAATCACACAAATTTTCGGAAAAATTTTGACCACCTGCACACGTACACAATCGTCAATTTAGAAGGCATGTTATAAAAATTTGGAAGAACTAATAATGCACTGACGTAGACAAAAATCAAACGAATACTAAATTTCATTTATCTAAAGCATTCGATAGTCGTGGCTTAACGATAACCATTTAGTCGCACGGCGAGGTTGTCACATATGCTTTAGTATACAAATGAATGAATGATTTTATTCGAATGAAACCATTCGATAGTTGAAATCATTCATTCAGTAACCATTCTATAGTCTAATTCATTCGATAGTTCCCATCGCTAATTCTAACATACCAAATTTCGTTTTTTTATCTGAAAAAATAAAAAAGTTATAGGGGGTGAGCCACTTTTGAGACGCACCCTGTATACATATATCCTTAGAGCCATTTTGTTTCCAGGTATTATTACTTCCGGAGGCTGCATGGTCGGCGAACGTCTGAGGGGAAGCAGTGGGGGCTTGGATGCAGTGATCTCTCCGCCTGCATGCCCTTCCAGGGCCCCCCACAAGTCCAGCACCGAGAGCGTACACAGGGTACTCAAAAGTGTCTCCAGACAGAGCCTACTCAGTAAGTCAAACTCACAGAAAAAATTGTAATTTTTAAAACGGTTTGATACTGATATACACAATATACACAACCAAACTTATATGGAATAATCTATTATTTTTCATAATTTTTGAGATGTATGAAAATTTTGTGTTTATGAATAAGACTCAGTCCTTACCAATGACTTTTAATGAAAAATAATTCATATAGCAATAAAAAAAAGTAATCACTTCCTAAAATAAACAAAATGGTATTTTTTTGGTTTCTGAAACGAAATTAAGATTTAAATTTTTAATGGCCAAAAAGCATAAACAAAAAGAAAATTGATAATTTTAATATTCCTTGTTGCCACCTCTAGCCCTTATGCAAGCTTCCATCCGCGCTGACATGCTTCTTATTAAATTACCCACGTTGTCTTAGGGTATGTTTTCCAATTCTGCTAATGCTGCATCAATAAGCTGTGCGAGATTTCCTGGATTGTTTCGACGAGCCCTAACCCTTCTTTTGATCTAGTCCCACAAGTGTTCGATAGGGTTTAGATCTGATAAAGAGGCAGGCCAGTCCAAAACTATGACACCTTCCGTTTCAAGACATTCTCTAGTTACTCTGCTGGTGTGGATATATACTCTGCTGGAAGGTAAAATTATCCCCAATTGCAGCTCTCCAAAGATTAACGATTGGTTCTAGCACCAAATCAACATATCTCCGATCCGTTAAAATTTGTTGAAGAGGTAACAATGGAGTTTTTGATCCCAGTATAATACCTCTCCAGAACATTACAGTTCCTCCTTTATATCTTGGTACAGATTTGGCAGTCTGAAGTCTCGCTCGCCTTCCTGGAGCTCTGAGAACTCGAATTCGATGGTTATCTGATCTTAGGCCAATTCTGGTCTTATCCGAAAAAAGAACATTTTGCCAATTCTCAGTTCTCCAGTTTTAATGTTGAAGGCGTCAATTTAGCCGGTCAATTTTATTTTGCCGAGATAACTGTGGGATCCGTAACTCTCTCCTACTGTAAAACCCTCGTGCACGATGCCTTTTTTTTTATGGTTTCAACTGAAACGTTCACACTTGTAGCTGCCGGAAGTTGTCTTTGTAACTCTGGATGAGAAACATTAGGATTTATTTTAGCAGTTTAGCACACAAGGCGGTCTTGTTGTTCAGTTCTGACTCTGACGACTTTGTCTGGGCCTATCCTTGTGTGTTCCTAATTCCAAGTACCTTCCACATGTTTTCGATACAACATCCTAGGAAATGCCTACTATCTCTGCTACGTCTCTCTGGAACATTCCTTGTTCGGTGAGGGCAATAATTCTTCCCCTCTATACATCTGTTAATCCAACATAATACATTTTTAATTTTTTTTGGATTGAGTGAAAATTTCCGGACAATCCTGATTTTACTACTGAACACAAAATTCAAAATAAAATAAATCGCCAGCAGTCGTTTATTCTTTATTATCATGTTTATTTACAACAAAAAGCCTTATCTTAAAGTTGTATACCAATTTTTATCATTGCAAGAAATTTGGTCAAAAATAAAGAGTGATTCCATATAAGTTTGGTTGTGTGTATACTGCAATCTAGGCAGATTTACGTACGCTACATTTGTTTTCTTTTTTTAATTACAGACTTGGTGGGCTGCAAATTAGGCATGTCCAAGTGTGGTCCGTCTGAAAGAAGCAGTTTTCAACAGGAAGGATTTTTCTCCTCTTCGAGGGACAGCTTACCAGCCGCCTATGTTAATAGGGCAGCCAACGTTAGTTCAGCTAGTGAACTAGACTTATCCAGAAAACATAGAAGGTAAGTGTATGATTTTGTGTCTTTACACATCGACTGTTGTACATTGTAGATTTTAGTGGAAGGGGAAGCTAATCAGTTTTCAATGATTTGAGTATATTTTGAGTCTATTCTTGCATTTTGTAGAGCAGCTGATATTGACCACATTTCAACAGTGTCGAAAGCCTTTTGCAAGTCAACGAATGTTAGATGTATACAGACCATACCAAATAAACTTTTAGTAACGTGATTAAGCTTGACTGGCACAGCGTTGCCCACTTTTACATATTTTCTTTTAATCAAAATATTTTAGGAAACAAAACTAAATTGATTATAAATATATAAACGGTTATTATTTACATCAACAAAATTCACCTCCTTAACAACACTTAAGGGACATAAAGAGCCATTACTACCGCTTTCCCGTTCAAAATATTCTAATCAGGTTGCGATGAGTTTTTTTGCAACGGAAGCTATCTTGTACGCTTCGCACTAAGGTCCGTATTTATAGTTGCGTCTTGAGACGCCAAGACGGTCTTGGGCTCTTGAGAGCGGAATCCACAGAATACACGAGCAAACGTCATTTTGGAGATTGCGATTTTCATTTTGGATAGTTTATGTGATCTGTGGATAGTTTCTTAGCCTAACTTTTTCAGTAAACAAAAACAAGTAAATCCGTTTTGTCTGATTAAACAGTTTTGAATATGTTAGAAGAGTTTGAGGATATTTTGCACCATGTGGAAGAAGAAAATCGTCTTCGAGTTCCAAAAAGGTATATACGGGATGCAGGAAATCCAATAGAAATGTTGGTATACCGAAATGTTTAGCGAGGGGGGATTTATGCCGATATAGGTTTAACAAGGCTACAATTACAGAAACTATTTTACCTCTTATAAATTGAAGACTTGCAAAAACCTACCAATCGTGGTTTACCCATTCTCCCCGTTATTCAATTACTAATTTGTTTACAGTTTTATACGACTTGTAATTTTCAGATGGTAAATGGAGACTTGCGTAGTGTTAGCCAACGTACAATAAGCCAGATAATCAAGAATAATACAATAATGTGGAAGTATTTCAAAATTGCAAAAGTTTTTAGTCTAAATATTCAGGTCCCAAAAGGGAAATTATGAATATTATAGTTGGATATCCAGGGTCAAGTCATGATAGTGTTGTATTCGATCCAAGTAATTTAAGAATGCTAATGGAAAGGAGTGATATTCCTGGTTTACTTCTTGGAGACAATGCATATAGATGTAGGCCATTTCTATTGACTCCTGTTCTACAGCTAGGTAGGATCAACAAGAAACCAGGTATAACTTTGCCCATAGAAGAACGCAAAATGTTGAAAGGCTCTTTGGACTTGGAAAAAACGTCTTCCATGTCTCCGAGGTTTACAAAACAACTGTTGCTATTATTTGTGCAACAGCTGTTCTTCATAATATTGGTTTAAGGGAAAATTTAGATAATTTTGAAGATGCTAGTTTACACATTCCAATTATAAATAAAAAGGAAGAGGGTTAGATTTTTGAAGAAATCTTATTCAACATTTTGCAAATTAAGGTATTTATTGTATTAATATATGTATATCTAGTAATTATGTAATATGTTAAGTAATGTTCCAAGGTAACTAGTACCTATATAATAATTTTATTTACTTTTCTATTAGTGTTAAGTTAGTATTTATATATTTACATGTAACATAATTGTAAGTAATTCCTTATATTCTTTTATTAGTTATCTTAAAAATACTGTTTTCCTATACTTAAATAATATATGATTTCTTAGTAGTTTTACTCTCACTATGACCAGACAGCTAAGTGCTTGTTTTAACTGGTCACACAGAATTTTCGCACTAATACATTAAAACTAAAAAAATTGTCTTTTTATTTTTATCATGAATATTTACATAAATATCATATCATATAATACAATATTGGATGTATACACTGTATAAACCTATAATTTTCAAGATTTTATTGCTTGGTGTAAATTCTGTATTCTTATTGAGTTGACCACTCTATATAAAGTCGATACTCCATGTTTTATAGTTTTATTTCAAATAATATTTCACAATACGCATTCTATGATTATTGCGTTTTTACTGCTTCCTTATTTCTTGACGTCTAGATGACATTCTTCTCTCTTTTTTTTTTGGTAGTCTGCTAGCCTATAAATTTTTTTATACTTCCTTTGTTCTATTTCTATATGTTCTTTGACCTCTTCTCTCAATTTTTCAGGTAATCGACTACTTTTCATTCTCTACTGTCAATAACCTCACTTGTCCATCTTCAAATAAATCTTCAATCCTCGGAATATATCCATATAATAATTCAGGTGTTTTTTTCGCCAGTGAATTTATTCACAGATGTATTTATAGCTCTTTCTATATTCTTAATATAATGTATCCCATTTGTTGTCATCATCTGCACAAGCCGAAGCCAGTATCATTGGAATAATAATGCTGTTCAACCATTTATGGTTGTATCACTCAAATGTTCTGCTATTAAAATGAACACCCTCTTGATAATCTGGCTTATTGTAGGTTGGCTAACACCATGCAAGTCTCCACTTACTATCTGAAAATTAGAAGTCGCATAAAACCGTAAACAAATTAATACTTGAATAAAGGGGGGACTAGGTAAACCACGATTGGTAGGTTTTTGCAAGTCTTCAATTACAAGAGGTAAAATAGTTTCTGTAATTGTAGCCTTGCTAAACCTATATCGGTATTTAAATTCCCCCTCGCTAAACATTTCTATTGGATTTCCTGCATCCCTTATATATCGTTTTGGAACTCGAAGACGATTTTCTTCTTCCACATGGTCCAAAATATCCTCAAACTCATCTAACATATTCAAAACTGTTTAATCAGACAAAACGGATTTACAAGGGATTTACTTTGTTTACAAAAAAAGTTGGGTTAAGAAACTATCCACAGATCACATAAACTATCCAAAATGACAATCTCCAAAATGAAAATCGCAATCTCCAAAATGACGTTTGCTTGTGTATTCTGTGGATTCCGCTCTCAAGAGCCCAAGACCGTCTTGGCGTCTCGAGACGCAACTATAAATACGGGCCTAAAAGAGGTTCTAAAAAGAACAATGTTCGACTGCAACGTCTACTAGTAAAGATTTTTATCACAAAAAGAATCAAAACACAATTCATTTAAATCAAAAACTGATACAAAACTAAGGTGTCAAAACGAATGATAATGTCAGGAAATAAATAAATAAATGCGACAACTTGATATTTTTTGGCTTAGTTGGCAGAGCTACCACCTGAATCCCCTGCTGGGAATTTAAACTATAGTTAGTCAGTCGCCGAATATGTCCATGGTTGGCAACAATGAATTTAAAAATCGCGCCCTCGATTACGTAACTAAAAGTTTAATTGGTGTCGAATATAATTCAAATTGATTAACTGAGTTTGTTATTTGAAATTGTATTACACTTACTGCTTTATTCGCCATGCACCTCCGATTATTGCTTTTCAGGAAAGATCTTCGAGGGAGATTAAAGCTGCCCACCAGTGTTACTCTAGCCAGTTCGGGGGAAGCTCCACTTTTGGGGGGGTGGCGTACTGCCCCTGGGTCAACGGCTGGTACCAATCCACCCTCTTCAAATCATCTAAGTAGTAGTAGTTGTAACGGAACCGAAAGGTAAATATTTTTCAGTTTTATTTATAAATTTTGCTACTTTTTTTAATCTATACCGAGTTATGCATTGGCTCACCAGTGGCGTAACAACAAACTCACGGGCCTGTGTGCAAAAATTTTACCGGGCTCCCTATTACACCTATATATTTCAATACTTATATATTAATCTGAATGATATGCACTCATATTTTAGCTTAGAAATAACATTATCAAATTAATTTTTATATAGTATTATTTATTACTGCCAACACAGAATATATAGAATATACCCAAAACATATAAAATATCAAATAAATAAAAAAATAAATAAAAACAAAACAAAAAATTAACTAAATTAAAATAAACAATGTAAATAGGAACATGAACATGTTAAGAAAGAAGTATCGGGAATTACCGTCATAACCAGCACAGGTAATCTTGATATTATTTGAAGCAAGAACAAATTGAATTTAAGTGCTATAGCAATTTTTTTATGCCCTTCGTATGCAGAGTGCGGTAATAAGATATTTTTTTTACCAATGGAATACTTTGTACCTACAGGATATCCCATTTTCATGTGTTTTGTTGCCCTTATGAATAGGTTTTCACAACAGTCGGCTACTTTTTGACAAAATGAGAGATGCTTTAATAGGATTTGTCATGGCCCTCTTAGTTACTGAACTACAGGGTGATTTTAAAAAAGTGACAGTTTCGGGCACCTCTCGTAACTCAGCTGCCTTATCGTCCCCTTATTTAATACAATCATTAGGTAACTAGAGTTTTTGTAATTTTGAGTTAACTAGTTAGCCAGTATAATTTTTCATGCCCTTTTTGATGCTACAACTAGCTTAGTTCTATTTCTATTCGATGGTACAGAAATCCAGTGACAATACAGCAAATTTCCTTTTTGTCAAATTTAATGCTCTAATGAAAAATCACGTATTTCCGGTTATTTTTATTTTGCAAAATAAAAAAGAAAACACAGCTACAAAATTGCACAAGAACAAGTGTAAACTAATAAGTTATTTTCGCGACAGCGTGTGCTAGTTCAGTAGTTAAGAAGACATGTGATAGATAAGAACTTAGTTCGGGATCGCCCGATTCTGCTGGATTCGCGATAGCATGTGATAGATATGGAAATGGGGCCCGGGGCCCTCGAGAGCCCGGGCCCGTGTGCTTCGTACACACGGTACATCGATAGTTACGCCACTGTGGCTCACGACATACTGCCTGTTGCATCGTCGTTGGAAACATAGGAAGATAAGAATAGACGCAATTTTTAAGAAAAAATTAAACAACCAAACCAAACTAAATAACTTGGATGTAATAAATGTGTCATATTGATGATACAAAATAATTTTAATAGGTTAAAAACCAATAAGAAAAAATCCGTAAATGATAATTTTTAATTCTAACGTAAATATATAAATAAATGTTATTATTATTACAATATAATATTATATTACTTACAACTCCGATTACAATCATAATACTTTATACTTTAACTTCAAAGTCTTCATTATCCTTCTTTAATTTTGAATATCAAGATAAGTCTGAAATTATAAAATTAATTATAGAATTCGTGTTATTACTGACTGTACTCAAAATAGTTATTTATGATATAAATGCTAAAAGTGGTATTTTATTTTGTGAGAAGGGAAGCTTGGACACGACTCCGAAGGAGTGTTCCATCCCTTCGAACAAAATAAAATCACTTTTAGCACACATATCATACACTATTTTTTCTACAAACAAGTTTGTGCTCGTATATATCAAGGTATTATTACTTTTTACGTTAATGAAATTCATAATATGTCATTCTGAAATCAAATTAATTATAAAGTTTATGGTTGCTAGCGTAACAATTATCGCCTCAGTATTAAAAGTAAATCACGTGACTTACTTTTAGCACCAGTGCTAAAAGTAAATGACTTTTACCATCAGTGACATAATGTCACATTTTAGGCACTGATAGCATGCGTTAAAAATTACATTTTTACTGACGTTTGTAGAAAAAAAAAACATTTATTTTCAACTGCAATTAATTAGAAAATAAACTGCAATTTGACAACATCGAGGATGTGCGCTTGCGTAGTATCGCTGATCAAATGCAGCAAATATGGGTTTCAAGGTCAGCCACCGGATCCACACCTTTACCAAAAAGTTAATTAAATTTGTCTAGTTGATTTTATCATTGTCAAATATTATTTGATGTGCTGTTTACACTACTACCGTTGACTGAAGTAATAAGAAGATGGGCAACCTTATGGGCGATTTCGTGGCACAAAAGACGTCCGAGATGTAGCTGGCGATCATAGAGATCACAGAATATCTAGCTACGCAACAGAAAAATACTCGAAATGAAAGAGCTAAAATTGCACAAATAAAATACTAGATGGCGCGACAATATCATAATCAGAATTTAATTGGAAATTTTCAATTTTCGGTTTTGGACTGTTTTGGCTCGACGGCACGTCGACGGCCTTGAAGCTCGGCTAAATATGCACAGTTGCCAGATTTAAAAAGACCTTAATTGGCATCTATTGGCATCCCATTCTTTTTCTGGTGTATAATAATTTCTTTCTATTCTTCGTTTCTTGTCAGATACACTTATATTAATTATTCATTTGGCTTTTAAAATAGTTTTTAGTTTAATAAGTATATTATTAGAAAACATATGCGCACATCAATACATTTTTAATATATACTAAACACAAAATCAATACATTTTTAATATATACTAAACGCCACGAATGTTTGGGAGTCATTTATTGCTTGATGAAGTTAGAATCGACACGCGCGCTATCATTTTTACATTAAAAACGTAAATTTTTACCGTAGACGTAGGTTTTTAAAGGCCTGGTCTAATCATCTGCCTGCACTCCTCCTACTTATTCTAAAATGTTAGCGTGATTGACAAAGACAATACTATATCGCGTTTCTTTGATTGATTCGTTTTTGTGCGTCAGTCCATTGGTGTGCTTGCAGTGCGACCAATGGGGCATTCCATTTTATATTTATTACCAAAAAATATATGATTTGACAATACTTTGACAGTTAAAACAACAAATTACAACAGATTATATATTGATTATTATATGACTTGAAACGCCACGGCACTGGAATTAAGTTAATGTGACCTTGAATAGATTAGTTCACATGGTAGCGACCGATGAATCACTCCCAAACATTCGTGGCGTTTACTGTACACTACTTTATTATGTTAACTAAGAAAATAACTTTAATTACCTTTAAAATTAATAATATACAGGGCGATTGATAGTGATATTTATTAATGCTGAAATGTTAGTAAAGAAATATACGTTTAATAATAATGGAAATAATTTATTAAAATGCAGTACAAGAAATGTTAATTGACTAAAAAAATACTATAACAATTTTTTTCTGTTTGCTACATTATTTATATAGACCTAGGTAGATTTTAAAAAGTGACACACGTACAATTAATAATATACTAGTTCGGCATAAAAGTTGCTGTCACGACATCATACAATAAATTTAAATTCGTAAAATAAATTAAAATTATTAATTAAACAAATCTTTATAAAGAAACGCAAGTATACCAAATTTGGGCCCAATCGAACTCCAGGAAATGATATCATAATATTGTACCATATTATGGTACCACTCGATATGCTTCATAATGTTGCAATGTCACCGAAGATCCGCAGTATACCAAATTTAAGCGTAGAACACACAATCGAACGCCAGGAAATGGTATCGTAATATGGTATTACATTAAGGTAGGTACCACTTTAAATACATCATAGTACCATCATATTACAATGTGATCGAAGATACGTAGTATACCAAGTTTTAGCCCAATCGAACGCCAGGAAATTGTATCGTAATATGGTACTACATTATGATACCTCTTGATATGCTTCATGGTACCATAATGTTGCAATGTCATCAAAAATACGCAAGTGGTATATGAGCTCAATCGAACGTCAGGAAGTGGTATCATAATATGCTACTATAGAAGGTACCACTTCATATGCATCATAGTACCATCATATTACAATGTCACCGAACATACGTAGTATACAAAATTTAAGCCAAATCGAACGCCAGGAAATGGTATCGTAATATGGTACTACATTATGGTACCCCTTAATATGCTTCATGGTACCATAATATTGCAATGTCATAAAAAATACGCAAGTATAATCAAATATGAGCCCAATCGAACGTCAGGAAGTGGTATCATAATATGGTACTATAGAAGGTACCACTTTATATGCATCAACGTACCATCATATTATAATGTCACCGAACACACGTAGTATATAAAGTTTAAGTCCAATCGAACACCAGGAAATGGTATCGTAATATGATACTACATTATGGTACCTCTTGATATGCTTCATGGTACCATAATATTGCAATGTCATCAAAAATACGCAAGTATATATCAAATATGAGACCAATTGAACGTCAGGAAGTGGTATCATAATATGGTACTATAGAAGGTACCACTTTATATGCTCCATGGTACCATAATATTACAATGTCACTGACGATACGTAGTATACCAAGTTTAAGCCCAATCGAACAACATGTATCGTAATATGGTATCACTTGATATGCTTCATGGTACCATAATATTGCAATGTCATGAAAAATACGCAAGTATATATCAAATACAGAAAACCGTATGATACCGAAAAAAAACAGCGTTCAGTTGGCTGGGAAATGACGATCGATGACATTTCCCATATAAATTTACATATAAAATGACAGCGATTTTCATTTCATAGCCATCGCTAACGCCGCGCCGTTTTTTCCCGATCATACCGTATGAACACAATCGAACGTCAGGAAGTGGTATCATAATAGTAGAACAATATTTATTATATTGTCGCCGAATTACAATCAGAATTCAGGATTCAATTACAATCAAACGTCGCAAAGTGATTGTAATTTAGCTCGTAAGATTCAGCTCCAACTAACATGGCAAGTTACATACCTAAACGTTTGAAAAAAGAGCTCTGATCTATTTT